TGGGGGGGGGGGTGAGTGGTGCTGGATTGAAACGTCATGTATTGGTTGCGTACAAGGAATACGTGTGTGTGCGATGTGTGCGATGAGTGACTTATTGACGTGAATCTTCTATCGATTGATAAGATGTCAGCAGCATCCATCCCATTATATTATGGACGCACACTCAATGACGCCCGAATCGGCACGCACACGACTTGAGCATCACAAGTCAGGTACGCACCGACATAGCCACCGTCGCACGAGCCCTTTTCATGCCGTCATCGCAAGCAAGACATCAAAGCATCAACGAATTGATCGGCGATGTCACATGGGCAAGCATTGGCCGACGTCAAACAAGCACACCGGCGCCTGTATACGAACAGGTGTCTTCACAGCTCAAGGGGAAGAAGCAAGACGCAAAAAAGAAGGCCATACAATGTCAACGCAGTCACCCGCTCTTCGGTGTGAGGGCGATGTAAGCAGCCCACATCAGCAAGCCGATCTTCGCCGTCTCCGTCACAGCCACCACCCTGTGTGCCGTCTTGAGCCACGGCACCTTCTGCTTGTCCACCGGCTCGCCCCTCTCCTCGCACCCAATCACATAGTCGCCCCCTTTCAGCAGACACGGCACCGGGAACACGTGGCTGTGGAACAGCGAGACCGCCAGAGCACCCATCAGCGGCAGATTCAGTCCTCTCCCGTCGTCCGTATTGTGGCCGGACAGCACTCGCCGCGCCTCGAGCATGGCTTGGACAGCCGCCAGAGAGGTCTCCACCCGCCTGTAGCTTCTGAATAGATGCGTGCCGACGCGAAGCAGCTTGGAGCGGGGCACTTCGGGGGTCGAGAACTTGACGCCGGCGTCATGGATGATGCCGAGGGACATGCCGGCCCAGATGAGCGATATGTAGCCATCAGCCGACATGGGATCTGACGCACACACGGTCACAGACAGAAGCCACATTCAGACACACGCTCTACATACGTTGTCAACAGTGAATGCGTTTTGTCTGTAAGCTGTACCTGAGCACCCTGAAGCTGCGTGAAGAGGACGGATTCACCCAGCGTTGACGCCCAAATAGAGACCAGGCAGGACAGTCAGATGGCGTGCACGCACAACACGGAATCTAATATATTGCACGCGATGATGGGGATGATCTCAATGAGAGAGGAGGAGATTGGCTCATGGTAGGAGAAGTTCATCGAGCGTTCCTCTTTTCAAGCTCGCAACCGATCCGGAGTCGCGCCGCCTTTCTTTCATTGATTTTTGCTACCGAGGAGCTGAGTGGCTGCAACAAGACGACCCATGGACATATACATGTCCATCTCTTCAATGCATCGCGCGGTGTATCTCAGGCATGATGTGTCTCAACCATCGGTCTGGTGGTTCTGTCTATCCCATCACTCGTGGCGCTCCCTTCCCTCCGTCCGTCACTTTCTCCCCCGCCCATCCCATGAATGAATCAACACAAGGCGTCAGCGTTATGGATATGCACACAATGCAACACCAGCCAGCAGCCAGGCACCCAACCCCGACAGACGGCCGTAGTGTACACGACAGACAGACAGACAGACAGACAAGACAGACATCCACACAGCACACACGAGTCAGTCATTCTCAGTCAGATTCTGCACGCATGGATGCCCCCCCTCCCTCCCTCCCTCCCTCTATCATCTGTGATTCAATGGTTGGTGTTAGGTCAGGTCACTTTCCGCTTCTTGCTCCGCGTCATGTATGTCGGCTCAGCGGCGACGGGCACAGCGGCTGCAGCAGGGTCAGAAATCGGCTGGTCGGCGGGATTGGCTGGCGCCACAGCCTCCACCGCCGCCGTCCCCCTCTGCCGCTTCTTGCCGTCGCCCGCCTGATGGTTCCTCCTTCGCCCCTTGGCGCCTCGCTGGCCGCCCTCGTGCAGCTCAGTGTCCGCCGCCCTTTTGTTGTTGCCCTTGTTGTTCTCTGTCCTGCGGGCGCTCTGGGGCGCATAGGGGCGCTGCTGCTCCTCACTGGCAGCCAGGAGGGATCGCTTCTTGCCCCGCTCTGTCTGCTCCTGTTGCAGTCCGAGCCCTGGCGCCCGGCGCCTTGTGTGCATGAGCAGCTTCTCCCTGTGCTGCGTGACGGCCTGCTGGGCGGCGTCGAGGAGGAAACCGAAGGGCAGAGTGGCGATATCAGGGGCACCCATGGTGGTCGGGCTGAAGGCCTCACACACCGACTTCGGCTGCACACATACGTACAAGAGAGGCACAAAGATGCAATCATGGATCGGGTCGACGGACGGCTTGGGAGGGGTTTCCTCTGTCTGCCCACCAGGGAGTGGGTGTTGATGCGCGCCAGGGCCCGTGCGATCGTGAGAGGCGCCAGATGCTTGACAGCCACGTCTCTCGTGCTCACGGTCGGTGGCTGCTCAGTCAACTCGTACAGAAGAGGCCTGCATGGATAACACACAAAGCAACCGCATGCACAGTGGATGGATGGATGAATTGATGTGCTGCATGACTTAGTACATGTTCTTGAGTGTGTTCTTGACGGCGTGTGAGAGCTGGTTGGCGATCTTGGTGCGGTGCCTGACGCCGTTGCGAGTACTGATGCCCCACTGGTCGACTTGGTCACTGTTCATGGGGGCCGAGACGAATAGCTGCACACAAGACACAGACACGCACACGCACACAGTGAAAGCACTGAGCTCGGCAAAGAGACAGACGTACCACGCAGATGTACTTACGTGTTTGAATCTGAGGAAACTTTCGCTGCCGATCTCGCCGCCGCAGATTTCCAGCCGCGACTGCACAATGAGGCCGTCGGCCTTGGCTGCGCCGACGGCGGCGTCGCACACCACCTGCAGCAGACTACGGGGACACCCAGCACCGCCCTGGGTATGCGCGAAATACGCCTGCACGCATTCAAAGACACTGCGGTGTGGGCCGTGTGTGGGGGTGAGTGAGTGAGTGAGTGTGTGCGTACCTGGACGAGCGAATTCAGTTTGTCTTGTCGCGCCTGTGCGCCGGTTTCCTTGGTGGACAGGTACAAGGCCATGAAGGCCGCCTCCAATTTGGCAACACTACCCCTGATCGATACACACGCGCATGGATGGACGCCACACACACACACACACACACAGACAGAGAGAGAGAGAGAAGAACACATACAAGCCCGTCCCCCCTCCCACCCCTGTCTGTCCGTGTATCTATCTGCCTGCCTGCCTGCCTGCCGCTCCTTACTTGAGTGTCTCATACAGCTTCTGTAGGGTAGCCTCCACAGCCGCCCTCATGCCCCCAAATGCATCCTCACGACCATCTTCCTGTTGCTCGCCTCCCCTCATGACGACCACCACGCCCCACGCCTGCCAATCGCACCTGCCCACCGCGAAGCCCTCGTCATGCGCCGCCTTGGCCAGCTCCTTTGACAGCTCCGGGGGGCTCCTGCCCGTGGCGGTGACGGCGTCCGTCGCACGCACACTCCACACACCATTGGCGTGCTGCGTGGCGCTGGCCATGAAGGACCGCATGAAGTCGCATTTCTCGCACACGGCTTCCTTGGTGGTCCGGGAGAAGCGCAGCTTGTATGTGAGGGGCACGTTTGGGTAGATGCGACTGGTGCTGGTGGTGGGTGGGCCGTCTTGCTGCTGCTGCTGCTGCTGCTGGTGCTGTATCGTCTGGTCGAGCATGCGGAAGAAGGTCGTGACATCATCGGGTGCCTGGGCCTTGAGAGCCGCCATGGCGTTAGTCGACGGCAGACTGACGGCCACCACACGACCACCACCACCACCTTGGCCACTTTCAGGCTGCTGGTCCGACCGGCTGACGTGTATAGATGTGTGGATGCTGGTGTTGGTGTGTGCATTGGGGCGTGGCTTGATGAGGCCGTCCATGAGTGTGCAGGCGAGGCGTGTGGCCGCCCAGGGGTCCACCAACGGCACGCTCGCGTTGCGGTGCATCATGAGAAGGTCCTCGGGACGCACGAAGACATGAGAATGGCCGCGGGGGCCATCAGCACCTGACACACAGACAGACAGACAGGCAGGCAGGCAGGCAGAGAGAGGGAGAGAGGTACGGTGCAGACGTGTCGGTCGGTCGTGTTATGCCCCCGCGGTCATGCGTGTGTACGCACCGTTGTCGTGCGGCTGTCCGCCTGTGTATTTGGTGTCCTTGACGTAGTTCTCGATAGACTGCGGGATGGTCATGTGGATGACCCCATCCGCTCGCGGCGCGTGGCCTGCGTGGACGAGGTCAACGCCATTCGTCGCAACCAACACGCGAACCTTCCCTACACACACATAGACACGACACAACACAACACCGGTGGGCAGGCATGTTATGTCATGCGTGTCTGTATGCTCCGCGCGTGTGTGTGTGTGTGTGTGGATGGACGCCCATAGCCCACTCAGTCCTTCACCTGTCATGAATCGGTCCATCACGGCGGCCAGCTGTGCCCTCGTTCGCCCCAAGTGATAGGTCTCCACCTCCCCAAACGCACCTGCAAAGCACACAACAAACCACAACAGTACACAGTACAAGTGCATGTGTCATCCATCCACCAGCCTGTCACTCTCTGAGTGGTGTGTATGTCCTAACTTACGTGTTTTCATCAGGGCATCTGCAAGCATCTCAGCGTCAGACTGTCGCCATGCAAAGACGACGATGGTCTTCATGGCCGCCCAGGGATACTTCCTGAGCAGCGACTTGACCTCCATGACCCGGTGGAAGTCCCAACGGTGCTCGCTGTACGTCATGCCAAAGACGCCATCGTCATTGGAGCCAGCTGGACAGACAGCACAGGGAGGAAAGGAGTTGAGGGCTTATTGTTCAGATGTCTGTCTGTCTGTCTGTCTGTCTGTCTGTTTTGGGTCTGGCGTGTCTGTCCGTTGTGGTTGTGTGCAGCGCCTGTGTACCTGAGTCTTGGCGACGTTCTTGGCCGTTGGCGGGGCGGTCGCGCGCAGACAAAGACTCAGGCACCTGCACACAGACAGACATAGAGTGACGATGCCCAAAGATGGAGGGAGGCACATCATATCGACAAAGTTTGTGAGTGAGAGATTAATCCTCACTCACTCACTCGAGGTTCGTTGACATCTCGATTGGCAAGACGGCTCCTATCCCTTTTCCCCATGGTCTTCCTGTTCTCCTCCCCACCCTGCTGCCGCTGCTGTGTGACGGGGGAGGGCATCTCCAGAGGCAGGAACGGGTTGTGGATAGGCGGAGACGGAGGCGCCGCGCCGCGGAGGTCCGGCCCCTGCTGCCTGCCGCTCTGCAGCTCCTGTGACCGTGACGCGACGGGCAGGGACGACAGCGGGTGCGATGCCCTCTGCTGCTGGGGGTGCTGGGGGTGGTTGGTTGTGGGTGAGCGACGGTGACCGGAATGCGGCAAACCGTTGGTCCCATACTGCGAATCAGCACGTGAGTGGACGTTGCGTGACGAGTAGGAAGGGTGAAGAGCGATGGACGGTTGGCTCAGCTGCAGGCGTGACAAGGGTCCTGAAGGCCGTGGGGGCTCCGGCGAGCCCGGGCTGCCCGGCATGACTGCTGATGAACAAAGAACACTGACCAACTCAGACCTGCACACACAGCAGCACAGCCATCCGTCACCGAGGTCAGATTATCGCTGCATGCGAACATGCGGTGCCCGGCAGTGCCCGTACGGTGCTCATCCACATGGCATTTTGTCCCACCCGCGGCTTCCTGCCTCGTCTCAGCTTCGCTTACTTGAACTATTGTGACAAACCGCGTTCTCTATGACGTCAGACAGCGGCGTTCGCCTCTGCAAAAGGTGTGGAGAGCCATTTTTCCGCCATCGCAGAGCTTTTCATGTGACTGGGGTCGGATAGGTTTCACGGATAAGCTCGCAGATGCCGCCTCGATGCAAGCGATGCAGCCTGTCATGTCGGAGGCTCAGAAACGTGGCTGCCTAGAGCTTGTGTCTTGAGATCTGCATATATCTCTGTGCTATGAGGCTGCTGCGTGGGCTGCTGCCTTCTTGCAGCATGCAGACCATGGCATACAGATTGATCCATCGGCCGTCCTCATGCTCACCTCTATTGGGATCTTCGACCAGCTATCGACCACAGAAGCGGCCGTCCCATCTCCTCCTGCACGCCTGTCCTCTCAGCACGTTCCTCTGACCGCAGCTTAGCGAAGAAGAAGCATCGTCTGGCGCAGCAGGAGTGTTACTTGCAAAAGGCAAGAAGAAGCGACAAGGCAGTGACGACGGCGACGGCGATGAAGGGCCTATGGATGAGGGCAAGAGGGGCGAGGTCCGTGGGAGAAGCTGGCAGCCATCCCTGACAACTACGGACAGCCTGCCTACCCCACTGGCTTCGAGCCATCCCTCTCACTGGGCGAGCTGCGGCGGCGCCTTTCCCTGAGGCTCGGGCACCCGCCTGCACTGCAACGCAGCGTCGCAGGGAGCTACATACCGCAAGGCCCGAGGCGTGTGGGTGGCCAGCCCCAAGAAGGCGCCCATCAACAACGCAGAACAACAGAAGGTGCGTCCCAACAGAAGCCACCAAGTTGAACACCATGACCTGCACACACGTGTGGATGCGGGTGTGTGTGGGTGTCAGAGCATCAATGCGTTGAATCTGGATAGCCCCCCGGGAAGCCCCGCTCATGCGTCCAAGATGCCATGGAACATGAAGCATACCTCCAAGGGCCGCTCGTCGTCAGGTGCTCACTCAAGTATGCAAGCAAGGCGTCAGCAGTGAGCATCGGAGTACGTGTGTGCACTCGAACGAACGTGTTCCTTAGGTGGCTCCCAAGGCAGAGCTGACGGATATGGCGGCGGTGGTGGAGGTGGTGGTGGGCAGTCCTCTGCGCCTCCGCCCCTTCTCAAGACGCCCATGGGCCTGCCGAAGTGGCCGATACGGTACAGCATGCAAGGCACCTGGCGCAAAGGATGGAGGCGTGGGAAGAGAGAGATACATAGTCTTGACAATCGGTGCCGTGGGCGTCACCACTGACCGCATTCGTAGGAGGGAAGGCACGTGTATGACGTTGTGTGTGTTCGTGCGCTCCCTCCGACCAGTGCATTCATGCAGGTTTGCCGCGTGTATGACTTTGATTGACGATATATATGGCCATACGAGTCGATGGCTATCCGCGTCCCTTCATTCATTCGTTCATTCATGGCCGCGCAGTCAGTGAGTCTAAAATCATTGCAATCATAGCTTGCATGCAAATTACCTATGTACAGAATCCCTGTACGAGACGCACTGCACTCAGTTACCATGCAGCTCAGCCAGCCCCTATCTTCAATCCATGACCATATATCCCATGTACCCCATCACTGTTCTCCCACATTGATCAATGACCTACCCAGTAACCAGCACCCGTCCCCCTGTATGTCCTGTCGATGACGTCACTCGCGAGATTGAACCGCCGCAGCACGATATGGCCAGCGACGGACCACGGTCTCGCCAGGCCGGAAGCCGCGCACACCATCACACGACGACGGTCCATCGCATCGGTATCATCCAGATCGCCGTGGTCGCAGCGCGAGTCGACAGTGATGCCCAAATTCTCTAATGCCCTCGGTCACCGATCGGCGACAGCGAGGATCGTCACGGCCGACATTTGCAGTGAGCACTGTCCTGAGAGCACTGTCTTGTCGCGCACCACGCCCAGAGGAGCCTTTGCAGCAGGAATGTCGAGAATGAGCGGTGGAGATAGCCGCAGCGGATGGCGGGGTCGGTCCTCTTGTAGCCCTCAGCATAGGGATGGCCGCCCGGCAGCTCACCCAACGGCACCACACGAAAGGTCATGTTGCCAATCCGATACTGTCCGTTGCCGGCTTGCTGCAGCGCCAGGCTGCGTGTGTTGTGTGAACAGGTGGCCGAACAGCCGATAGATTGCCATGGCCAATGGCAGCTGGTGGAATGCCGTCCTGCTGGGCAGGTGGGCTGTCAGCCACTGAGCCGACAGCACCAGGGGCAGCCCATTGGCAGGCGTCAGCCGATAGATGGCGGCCAGCCGGATGAGCCGTCCCATCCCAGGCCACTCGTCGCTGCCCTGCTCCAGCACATAGGCCGCCCGCAGCACATAGGTGAATGGGAGAGGGGCGGTGCGGTCGATGTCGATGAGGCCGGTGAGTGGGTGGCGGGCGAGGGAGCCGTCGATGCGCTCCACCAGCAGAGCGGCGGTCACCATAGGCGCCTTCGCCCGGCAGGTCCCTCGGACACAGACCGCCTCATGGACGAGAAGGGACGGGATAATGCGCCGGTGCCACAGGTCGTCGGGCACCGAATCAGACATCCTGGCGAAGCACTCAGTCAGCACCTTCCAGACAGCACACAGGCACGACACACACAAAGAAGAGCGACTTCCTCCAAGGGCCATCCCTTCACGGAGATGTGGGAATCTTCTCTTACCCATCCTCAGCTGAGCCTCATGACTGCAGCATGATCAGCATGATCGGAGAGAGTGAGGAGTGACTGCAGCACCAGATCTGTCAGGCCGCCTAGGGTGCTCCCTGAAACCGCTTCTCGCATTCCTCACCCCATTGGCTTCTGTGCAGACTCCTTCGGCCACCATTCCAATCCGTCATCCCCCCAATCATCTCAGCAATCTCATTCATTACCTGAGTGATTTGCGTCCCTTCAGCGAGGATGGGAGGCAACGTGAGTCGTGATGTGATGCTCACCCCCGCCCCAGAGCCCTCCTCGTTCATCGCCATATGCACCAAGACAAGCAGGGGCCTTTGCTTGCTGCACTTCCCGGCCGGCCTTCGCGAGAAAGCCATCGCTGTCGTGAGAACGCACTGGACAGACGGCGGAAACGTTATTGTGGAGCAGTTCGGGGGATGCACCAAGTGAGCAAATGGATCAGTGTTCCGGGGGGACATGGATGAGTGTGTGTGTGTGCTTGTGTGTCTGTCAGGTTGAAGCTCGAGAGTGGGATGTTCAGCACCCCCTGGCTAAGCACAAACACGGTCGGTGCGGCAGGGAGGGGTGGTTGCATGTGTGTCCCTTTCTGTATGTGTGAGCGTGACGACTGTGTGTGGTGTGGACTAATGCAGGACGGTTGTGGGACTCGTGTGTGCATCGCCAGGATGCTGGCGGCCCTGCTGCACACGCTGGCGCAGGACGGTTACCTGCCCTACGCATCCACACAGATACACAGATGCAGACAACACCAGGTGCCACACACTACAGACGACTTGACGACTTTCACATCCGCATGATGGATCCATTCATTCAGGTGCCCGACGTGATCATCCTGAGAAAACACGATCCTCTACCCTCCGCCCCCCCGATGGACGACATCAACAAACCGACCGAGGAGGACCAATCTTATCCGTCTTCGATTCTCTACCCGACCGTCGCCCCTCCCCCCTACGCACCCTCCCACCAGCAGTATCAGCAGCAGCCGACCGAGCCCTACTTCGCCATCGGCCTCAACAGATGGGGCACTTTGCGGCTGATCCAGGCGCCGCCCGCCCTTGTGGACGCCATCCCGTCGCTCATCCAGCAGTTCTGGGGGGGGTCGTTCAAGCGCGAAGATCGAAGAGCCAGCACCAACAGCCAGGTGAATGTGGTTGAGGGGATAGACAGGACGGGCTTGCTAGCGGGGAGGAGCCAGCCGGCGGATGTGGTGGACTTCCGGATCAATGGGTCGCCATGGTATGCCGACGGAGACTCGGCTGTTACTGCACGGCAGGTACGCCCCGCACAGATGCATGCGGGGCATCTCCATGTACCCATCTCTTTCCGGGTTCTCTCTGCCTGTCTGTCTGTCTGTCTGTGTATGTGTATGTCTGCGCATGTGTATGTCAGCTTTTGTGTGGGCTGTTGACCCATCTGTGGCAGCTCAACTACGACCTGCTGTGTGCAGTGTCCCTGAACACCAGCTGCGGCCTCTCCACACTCGTCATGGGAAAGAGTGAGGGCATCCAGGGCGACGGGCGGGACATCATGGCCCTCGCCATGAGCCGCTACGACACACTGCGGCTCTTCAATGCGCCTCAGGGCACGCCCGCTGCAGGTCAGTGGGCCGACGTGCCACACACGCGCAGGGGGTGATCAAGAACATGAGCCAGCGTGTCTCATTTGGTGTGCTGTGTGAACGATCCACCAGTGCGTTCGTGCATTGAGCGGCATTGGACGAGAGGCATCAAGTCGACGACGGACAGCGTCAGCGGGGCCACAGCCATTCCTTGCATGGAGTTCCAGATGAACGGAAACCCTTGGTACGCAACTCCCCCCACCCCCCACCACACACACACACCCCTCACCCCAACAAGCATGTGCTCTCTTGTGTGCCTTTCTTTTGTTTGCCAACTCCCACCGTATGCAGGTGGTGTTCCAACTGGCACATGGCGTCCACCGAGGCGCGCAACATGATAGCGGCCATCCTGGAGGACCTCATGCAGAGGGGCTGGCTGCCATGGGGCAAGGCCGCCGGCAGCATCAACATGACCGTCAAAGAGGCCGACACGTCCCTTATGGTCTTCACGAGAAACGATGATAACCACGGCAGCCGACGAGCCACTGGTCCGCTGATATGGGTGAGCCTGTTTGATCGACACCTGGTGCGTGTGGGGGGGCCGGGGAGCGTCGTGCCTCCGCAGCCGGTACTCGAGGCCATCAGGCGCGCCCTGCAGTACTGGCCCACACAGAAACCGCCATACGAGCAGGTCGAGCACCGGACCACCACACACACACACAGAGAGAGAGAAATGTACCCACTCGGCTGCTTTTCCCCTTGTGTGCCTCTGTCTGTGCTGTGTGTATCATCAGGGGCGTCTGTCATGCTGGGAGTTTCGCCTGTCTGCTGGGTCGCCTTGGCACAGCGGCAACACCGACTGCGTGCATGCCTGTCACGTCGTGATGCGGCTCTTTGACGAGATGTATCGGTGCGGGTGGGAGGTCTGTGCGGCCGTCGATATGGCCAAGGCATTCTATAAGCCGGACAAGTCGCCGGCCTACAAGATAGACTGCGACACATGGTTCTTTCGACAGAGATAATGCTTTCGAAAGTGTCGATCACAACATAGTTCCTTCGTTCGGTCGGACACCCCTGGCTGGCTGGCTGCCTGCCTCCATCAATCAGGACAAAGGGGTCACCACATGAGCTTGGTCACGGCCCAGAGCGACATTAACTCGCTCGTACGTCTGTGATTTCATGCATCGTGTTGGATTCGTCCACTCCCAACATGCACGCAATGCGATTCTGTATGCTCTCAGTCAGCGAACCTTGTGGACGTGATGTGTGTGGGGGCATTTTTTCACGGACGTGCATTGGGCGAAACGAACCGACTTTGGTCGACAAGATGTGATCATGTCATCAATCTATTCACTCATTGATAAAACCGAGAGCGCCCTTCACGCACTCAGTCACGTCAGCCATTTAAAGCCGCTCCGCCCCCCTCCACCACTCACACACTGCCCGGCCAGGATACGGCAACACGACCCCTATCAAGCCGACAACCCTCACCCCACCACCCTCCCCCTGTCGATGACGTCACTCTCGAGACCGAATCGCCGCAGCACACGGCGGCACAGGGGCTCCGAAATGGGGAAGCGGTGGGCGAGCGGATGAGACCGATCCGCACCAGGTGCCTCGGTCGTCCGCAGCATGATAATGTCATACCCGATCCAGAGGCCAGTCGTACTGACCGACACCTGCAGATGGGCAGCGACGGTCTCGCCCGGCCGGAAGCCGCTCACAATCACATAACGCCGGTCAGTCGCACCAGCATTCAGATGGCCCCCATCACAGCGGTAGTCGACAGCGATGCCCTGATCCTCTGTGATGGCATCGGTCCCTCGCAGTCGGTCATAGCGACGGTCGATGAGTTGATGCACCACCTTCCTGTGACTCACCCCCTCTCCACCCGACCACCAGGAGAGCAGCCTGGCCATCAGGTATGCCGAGAATGAGCGGGAAAACAATGCACCCCAGCGGATGACGGGGTCGGTCCGCTTGTAGCCCTCAGCATAGCGATGGCCGCTCGGCAGCTCATCCAACGGCACCACACGAAACGACTCATTGCCAATCCGATAGGCCCCGTTGTCGGCATGCTGCAGCGCCAGGCTGTGTGTGTGGTGTGTGAGCAGGTGGCCGATTATCTTGTAGATGGCCATGGCGAGTGGCAGCTGGTGGAAGGCCGCTGCTGTGGGCAGCGAGTCGGCCGACAGCTGAAGGGGCCGCGTCGCATTTGCAGGGGTCAGCCGGTAGATGAAGGCCATCCGAAGGAACCGCCCCATTGCCCGCCACTCCTCGCCACTACCCCGCTCCAGCACGTAGACCACCTTCAAGCCGGCCCCCACATCACCGCCAATGTCGAAGGCCAACACGTCGGCCAGCCCGAGACGACTGATGGCCTTGTCGATGTGCTGCTCGACGAGCATTAGGATCTCGGCCACTTCGCCGGCATTGCTGCCATTGATCTGTAAGTGGAGTGCGGCGCGTCTGTTGGGGTCAGCGGACATGGCCATGTCGGCGGCCTTGCTGATGGCTGCGCTGCGCAGCGGGGGGACTGCCACCAGAGGGGCGGTGGGGGGCCGGCCGTTGGCAGGCCGGGACGACATCGCTACCAGGGAGTGGTCTGGATGGAGAGGCACACACATGGGAATCAGACCAAGTGAATTAGACGGCGGGATGCTCACCGTCAAAGCTGGGCGAGATGGCAGCAATCGTCACGAACCGCGGTGACTCTGCAGACACACAGCAGCACACACATCTGGGGCGGACGCACGCAGCGCCATGATCACCGCACAGCCTCACCGATGTCACTCAGTCACGAGAGCCGTGCGATGGCGAGGCCCTCACAGAATCGCAGACAAAGCGATGTAATGAGTTCGTTATGCGGAAGTCGTCACCGTGGCAGTAGGGCGAGGCGGGACGTGCTTGAGATCTGCAGGCGGCCACCAGACACGAAGCAGTAGCCATTATCTGAAGCTTCTTTTGGCTTCTTCTGCCTCTCTGGCTGCCATCTCACCCTCCAGTGAGCTGCAAAGGCTCCAAATGCTCCAGAGGCGCCGATCGGTCTGCGAGCTTGGCGCAATTCTTCCCCTTCAGCCCTTTTCCCCCCCTCTTCTCCGGTGCAACATGGCGATGGTGGGTCTGTGTGACATACACAAAGACGCGCTGTGATGATATCAATCGGCACAGATGTCGGCATCATCGCTCTGGCTGCAGTGATCTGGACGTATTGAGGTGCAAAGGGAGAACAAGAAGGACCGAAGGCATGGAGGATGACAGGGAAATGTGATCTCTCTCTCTCTCTCTCTGTGTGTGTGTGTGTGTGCGTGTGTGGCAGAACTGCGACTCACAGGCGGTTCTGACCCGATCAAGACGTCGGCATGTTAAACCCGTGGCGATGGCTGAAGGCCTTATTCACGGTGAGCCGAGCGACGAAAGCGCCAGCATGCATACATTCGTGATGCCTGTCGGTCGGCGGGGGTTGCAGACATTGGCTGCGCGTGACGGAGGCGCCAGCTCTGAGGCATCAGCTAATGTCCCTTCTATGGTGGAACCAGCCGTCAGTGCCGCTGACGTGCCGCAAGATGTCGCACTCACCATCGCCGAGTACGTTAGGAGCTACTCGCAGCTGGAGGCCCTCATCGACGCCCACCCCACCCAATTCACCTCCGCCCTCCTGCTACCCATCCTCACACGACTGCTGCCCGTTGTCGTGGAAGGCAGCTTCGGCAGCGTGGTGGATGTGCCCGTCCCTCAGCTGAGCCAGGACGCGGCCGTTGTTGTGGCCATCACACGACGGCTAATGATGCTGGAGTATGGCCGCGATTTGTCGAGGTGGCGGCCTCATTTGGAGCTGCTCTATCACATACGCGGCAAGCGGCCAGTGGTGCTGGGCGATGAGCACTTCAGCGCGTTTGACAGCCGGGCGGCCTTCATCGGCGAGACCGAGGCGGTCCGCCAGTGGAAAATACTCAGCCGAGGCGTGACTGTTCGTTGTATGTCGTATCGCTGTTGTCGGCACCAACAGATGAGGCTGATGGACGGCAATGCTATTCGCCTTCATCGCTGTGGCTATCGCCTCCCCGCCCTCCTCACCTCTGCCAGCCCCCTCTTCCCTCACGACACATTCGTCGACGCCGCCGACCCGCCCACACAGCTGGACGGCTACGTCTACGCACTTACGCTTCTATGGTGGCGTTCATCGTCTTCAGATGGCTTTGGTATGGCGGCTACATCAGTTTCTCCGGAGGCTCAGCGTGGGGCTCTGACTGTCCTTCTCGTTCTGCCGCATCTCTACGTATGGGTGAGCTGCTGGCGGCCCCCCTCAGCGGTGAGGCACAGTGGGGGG